CTCAGGACCTTCCTGAACAGCAACAAACCCTAATATGGAATTTATAGGGACCCTGCAAACAAATAGGTTTTGGTAGGTTAAGGTAAGTCCTTGGAGCCTGAATTCCCTGAACCTTTGAACCCTAAACCCCTGAACCCTAACCCCTGGAACCCCTAAACCCTAAACCCTAAACCCTGAACCCTAACCCTTTGAACCCCTAAACCCTAAACCCTAAACGAGGTTTTTTGCGGGACCTTCGGGCTTCGTAAAAAGGAGCTTAAACAAAAAAGCCCTTAAACCCCAAAGCCTAAACCCCAAGATTAAACTTAGAAGCCCTAAACCCTAAACACTAAACCCTGAACCCCTAAACCCTCAACCCTTAAACCCCAAGATTAAACCCAGAGGAGCTTAAACAAAAAAGCCCTTAAACCCCAAAGCCTAAACCCTTAAACCCCAAGATTAAACCCAGAAGCCCTTGGACCCCGCCCCTAAACCCTAAACCCTAAACACTAAACCCTGAACCCTAAACCCTCAACCCTTAAACCCCTAGACCCTAAACCCTAAACCCAAAAGCCCTTAAACCCCAAAGCCTAAACCCTAAACCCCAAGATTAGACCCAGAAGCCCGAAGCCTCAGGCAGAACAAGAAGTGTGCTGCCTGTGGGCCGTGGCCCCAGTTGCAGGAGAGTCCACGGCGCTTTTTCTCCGAGGGTCCCACGGAGGCTACAGTTTTCTCAAATACTTAGGGGCTGAGTAGGCAACCTTTAATCTTTTGGGGCTTATGTAATCCTAGTATAATTCAAAAGGCCCTAAACCCTAAGCCCTAAACCCTAAACCCTAACCTTTTTTGGGCTGGGGTACTCAGCCCCTAAGAATATAGGGCCTAGTGCGACTGGAGAACTGTTGTGCTTCGAGATTACGGTTTAGGGTTTAGGGTTTAGGGTTTACGGTTTAGAGTTTAGGGTTTAGGGTTTAGGGTTTAGGGTAAAGTTTAGGGTTCATGCTTTCGGATCTTTGGGTTTGCTTAGGGTTTAGGGTTTTTTCCGTTTATGGTGTACATGTAGCGTCTAAATGGTCTACATGTACCTTCGAGCATAGCCTTTAGCGTTGGAGTCTAAAGATAGGCTGCAACGAAATAGGGAAGTCGGTGGCAGCGGGTTTTCAATGTTAGAAACCCTAAACCCTAAACCCTAAACCCTAAACCCTAAACCCTAAACCCTAAACCTCCCGACCATGGTCTGCATCGAAGTCTATTGTGGAGCAGCGTCAGCCCCAAACCCGAGTACCCTAAGCCTTAAAGCCCTGTGGGATTTTTAGGACGCCAGAGTCATGAACCCGCAACCAGCCAGGAGGGGTGCGTAGAGCAACCCTCTTAGGGTTTAGGGTTTAGGGTTTAGGGTTTAGGGTTCAGGGTTCAGGGTTCAGGGTTTGGGGTCTAGGGTATATTTATTGGGGGTCGGGGGGGAGTTGGGGTTCAGGATGTACGGCTACTGGTCGAACGACATGTTGCCAGAAGGAGCTCGCTGTGTTGAAAATAATCGGGCGAAGTGTTGTCCTCCTTCTTCGTAGCTGAGTACTTGGAGGGTCGGGAGACTTAGTAAGTAGGTAATAAGTAGACTTATAAGTACCCTAAAAGGGACCCTAATTGGGGTAATAGTGCTTGTAAGTCTATAAAATAGCCATTTACTGAGTCCCCCGACCCTCCAAGTAGGCTGTTTTTGTGCTGTTTTTGTTTGCAAGTTTGTTGCTTCTGTCTAAACCCTAAACCCTAAACCCTAAACCCTGTTTTGTTTGGGAAGTTTGTTGCTTCTGTCTGCGGGGCCCGGGAACTCAACGACATTCAGTGACCGAGTCTTCTCCGACGGGTCAACATTCAGATGGACCCGAAGACTACATGGGTGGTCGTCAAAATTATGGTCTTTGGGGTTCAAGGGGTTAGGGTTCAGGGTTTAGGGTTCAAAGGTTCAGGGAATTCAGGCTTCTAGGACTTACCTTAACCTACCAAAACCTATTTTTGTGTAGGGTCCCTATAAATTCCATACTAGGGTTTATAATAAGAGCCTACAAAAAGTAGGTTTTGGTAGGTTAAGGTACATGTAGCCCGGTAGTTGGATGTAGAAAAGCGTATGGTATCATCACACCCCTCTGCTCATTGATAAAAGGCGGTTTTCATAAACAAACCCTCAGAACATCCTAAACCCTAAACCCTAAACCCAAGCAAGACCCACCGCCCCAATCCCTGGATCCTGCGTTCCTGAGCCCCTTGTGGCTCGGAAAGGTACCCGGCAGCCAAGATCCGATCCTACGAGTGGTCCAAGAAGGCCTTCGGAGCGGGTTTGGGAATTCTGGGTTTAGGGCTGAGCGGTTCAAGATGGTATATAATTACAGGCTCAGGGGCTTGTGGAAGTGTAGGGACTTCGAGGTTTAAGTCGAACCTTAAACCCAGAATCCGAAACCCCAAACCCTTCGCCCTGCACCGGCCCAGTCGAAGCGCAGACGCGCCCCGGGCACTGGCCGCATGAAGTATGCCGGAAACCCGGAGACTCAATTCTGTTATGTAAATGCCCGAATGATTTTCCATGTCACTCTTGATTTCCCGTATCTCCATTGCAACTAATTAGAATATACCCTATAACTACCCTGGTCGAATTATTATGTAGGGCCCCTTGCAGAAGGGTTTCCGCATCTTGGCAGGTCGGGCATCGTAAGAACTTAATGTAGACTATCTCCCTCAGCAAGATGGGATTCCTCTTTTGGGCTTTCAAACCCTAAACCCTAAACCCTAAACCCTTAGGGACCCTAAACCCTAAACCCTAAACCCTTAGGGCGGTTCAGGGGGTGTCCAGGTGAACCGTCGAGGTTCCTTTCGATGTTTATGTCCAGGAGTTGGGTTTTCGGGGTTCCTCATTTGGGCTTGTTTAGGCTTTAGGGTTTAGGGTTTAGCGGCTTGTTTGCGGTTTTGGGTTTAGGGGCTGCTCATTTGGATTTGTTTTCGCTTCGCTTGTAGAGTGTATGAGGTTTCCAAGCTCCTCATTGGGGTTTCTGTAGATGGGCTTTCAAGTTTTGGGATTGACGGTTTTAGTTTTCCTAGTTGAGTTCGTCGCACAGGAGTTTATCACGGAATTCTCTATCCCTTCAGTGTTGGAGTCTTTCAGGACCTTTCCAGACGTAGACCCTTCATGAAGAAGACCTCTCTGTTTAAGGGCCTGACCATCACCATTCTTGTATGATTGTTTTTGCCACGAGCATCTTGTAATCAGTGTCACACCAATGTATAACTCAAAAGCTCTATGTTTCATGGTGGGTCCTACGGGCCTGTAGAATCCAACAGGGCTTGTCGAGACCTGCTTTAAGTGGAAGCCACGATCTTGAATCCGAAACCTAAACCCTAAACTCTTAAACCCTAAACCTCTAAACCCTAAACCCTTAAGCCCAAAACCCTTAAACCCTAAACCCCTAAACCCCAAGGCCCTAAACCCTAAGCCCCCGAGACCCGAACCCTCAAGTTAAGCCGTATAAGCTCCCTCCAACTCTCAACTATGTCTCTTAAGAACTATCCGATGACCCAAGCCAATCTCGGCGGAGTCCCAGGGACCACCGGATTAATGCCACAATTAGGGCTTAGGGTTTGGGGAGCAGCTCAATGCGCTGAAGCTGCTTGAGGTTAAGAGTTGTGGTTTCAGGGGGATTTGCCAGAAGAGATGCTCGGATTCATGTGTGTATATATATATATATATGTTGGTATATACATACATATATATATATATATGCATATATAGATATGTATATATATATATATACATATGTACTACTGATAGTTGGCAGAGACCAAGCCTGTACAGTGTCGCTAAATGTTGCGTAAGTACAGTATGCGACTCAACGATTTAGCTTCCTGCATTCCCCAGTAAGAGCCAGTAAGTCGAAGTATGAGGCTTGTCGCCTTATGTCCTTAGCAAGTCGCGTGGTTTTCTCCACAAGGTCATAATTCGGCTCTAAGGCTTTGAATGTTTGTCTTTCCCTATATAATCATGCCACACACTACCCCAACCCCTACTCGAAAGATGACGACACCTATATTCAGCATGGGGAAAAAAGTGTTTAAAGGGCCACTGGAAGCGGAAGCCCGAAACTGTCAACCTGTTCCACCCCGAAAAGGTTTTAGAAGCCTGAAACCCCAAACCATCGACCCGAAACCCCAACACCCTAATCCCTAAACCCCACACCCTAAACCCGAAAAGGTCTAGAAGACTACCCTAAACCCTCCGTACCCTGAACAAAAACATTAAAACCGTGTGTAGAGCCTCAAACCCGGTCGAAGCATGAAGTCTGAGGTCAAGCACATCGCACGCCGCTTCAAGAATGGGCCGGGAGCCCGAGGAACTAAGGGGCTTAGAAGTTTAGGGTTTA